AACAATATGTACAATCTTTTACAACTACATGTAATTTAAAGGGTTTTTACCCTGGTATTTTGGTGGCTCAGGCATTTTAACCTAGCAATTTTAAACCTGATGATGGACTGTTTAGTCCGAAAACGTTTGTTTTTTTGATGTAGCCCTTTTAAGGGTTTTTAAATAAATATACCCATTTACGAAGATTAACCTCTTTTTTGTGATACGTAATACAAGAATTAGTGAAAGCTTGCCTTGGAGAAGAACTATAACGTTTTCAAGCGATTTTTCAAGGAAGAACTACAAGATTTTATGCGATCAGCCGAGCGAACTTAAGGCACTGGCGTGTCCTAGGAAACCGGAAAAAGGTTAAGCTTGTCTGGGTACTAAGACATCAGGGCATCAAAGGCAAGGAAAATGCAGATCAACTTGCAAAAAAAATTGAACGAATTAAAGGACCGGCTGTTTTTATTGGAGTACCAAAGGTTACAGTAGATAGGGCTATAGAGGACTGGATCAGAAAAGTCATGACGATATTGGAAGAGAATCACAAAACAAACGCATGAAAAAATCTTCATTGGTTGATCATGTACAAAAAGAACAGAGGAACTGCTCAATATGGGCAGGAACAAACTGAGAACAGTAACAGGAATGTTAAACGTGCATGCACCAGTAACAGAATTCCTAAATAAAATAGGCATTTACAATGGAGAGCTTAACTGCAGACTCTGTGATAAGGAAGCAGAAACTGTAAAATATGTATTATGCGATTGCAAGGCGCTGGACCGTAAAATACAAAAACTGTATAGGCAACCAAGAGGAGATCCTGGTATATTTAGGTTACACCAAGCAAAAAACCTATAAAATCTTCTTCATGGTACAAAAATTCTAGACTGGGTGTAAGAAATAATAATGGGCAGCAAACACAATAAGCTTGAATTTCAGTTTTAACGAAAATCTTTTATATCAGACGGGCCTAGGACAAAAATCTTTTACACAACACAACATATCGTTCATCTCCTGAAATTCCATTAATTTTACCCTAACTTTCTTGCATGCATCTCCATCTATATTCCCATAAGATCAATATATCCCATAATTGATCTTTAAATGAACCTTCTAGAGACTTTGTTCTTGTCATATAAGCTTTACCACTTTTCCATTTATTGGTGTAATTCCCATTCAGTAGTTGCTAGTAACGTCATATCATCAGCATATATTAAACACTAAGGAATTTCCTGCAACTTTAAAATTTCCCCGTTTTGAAACTAATTTGAAGCTACCTCAAATATTTTAGCGATTGCTATATAGTTCAGAAATATGAACTGGTGTCTGTAATCACCTTAAAATCACAAAGTACACTTAGGTCATGAGAAATCAATTTTACTAAGTGTATTGTGGATATAAAAACTCACTGATGTATAATTCGACCATTCATCATCATTCTAAAAAAATACACCTTTTTCCTTGACTGGAGTTCTACACTGATCGTACTGAAGAGAATTAGTCACTGTAGGACCCTGGTTGAGGTTATTGAGAGCAGAGTCGCCTCTTTCCTTCACCCACTGTTGAGCCCTCTTCTGGACAATTCATTATTTTTACTCTTGTCTCTATGTCAACTTTATTTCCAAGAGTTGGAATGAAATTCACGAATGAAAGTGTATCCATATCGGGCCAATACTATAATGCCCCAGAGTTGGCCAGTTCTCTGGGCCATCACTTATGAAACACTTTTTCTCCTATACCGTGGCATCTTGTGAACAAGATGGTTTTAAAACCTCGGCTTAAGTGAGCCCAGTAGTCACAGTACAAATCATTTATACGATGAGCCCCTTGTGAATGGTGTTGTGCTTTTCTTATTAGAAAACTGGGTATAAACCGATCTTACTGCAGCCAACTGATTTACTTGACATTGTGTATATATATATATGTTGTAGTGTGCGTAATGAGTAATTGTATTGTTACATAGGTGGGGGTTACCAGATGACGAATAGATAAAAAAGTACTAGTATTTTCATCTTAAGTTTTTTTAACAATAATTCATGGTCACAATTTGGTTTTTTGTCTATAAGTATTTTCCTTTATATTTTACATAAACACTATTTATATCATTTTTTTATATCAAGAATATTTTTATTTTCCCGGTTTTTAAATTAAACTTGATAAAAGCACAAAGAGAAATCATACGATTTCTATCTGGCGAAATCGAATTCAAATCTCAGCCACCGTGCTTTCTAAAACTTGCAAAGCAAACAGCTTGATGAATAAAAATTGATAAATAATTTACGAATAGATTTGCAAAAAAGAAGTTTTTTGCACTAATTGTAAATTTTATTTATTTATTTTTAACAAAATAAAATGTTTTTTTTTAAGATAAAAAATACGTTTATTGACGTATCAATTTCCACTTCGGAAAGAATTTTTAATAATTTTTTAATTTTTAAATATTTTTTGAGAACGATTTCCGAAGTGGAAATTGAAACGTCAATAAACGTATTTGTATCTTAAAAAAAATAATGTTTTTTAACAAAATACATTTGAATATCGAGGAATTTTTTCTTTTAAATTTGTATGAAATTTCCCCCCGATCGGTCAAATAGTTTAAAAGTTATTTATTTAATTTATTTATTTATTTATTTAAACTATCTAAATTGCTCTATTAAGTGATGCTAGACACATTTAGCAAATTTCATAGGATTCTTTAAGACTAAAGTCTTAAACTATCTCAGAAGTTAAATGCATATTGCGTTTTCATCAAAATTATTATAAAAAAAATCGTTGTGGCATGTTTTTTACTTATAAACAATTGTAATAACTCTATTTTAAGCTACAGACTTGTATGTACAACCATTAGATAGCTGGTAAAAAAACTCACATTAAAAAAAACCTTCTATGACCAATAGGAACGAAGTTAGGGACTATTTTTAAAAAAATCATATCTCCATTGTTTATAAACATTAAGAAGTAAAATTTGCACAAATTTTGAATGAAAATCTAAACTTTATATTGAAATTATAGCTATAAAATTCATTCAATTTTTCGAAACTTACAGCCCTTCGAAACGAAGGTACTTTCGAAAGATCGACATAGGAAAGTGGAGGGGATAACTGTTTTAGCTCCAATTTTTTTCGAGATCGTAACTTCAAATTGAAACGTAGGAAAAATTTACATTATCTAAGCTTCCATTGCAGATAGAAGCCTCTCTTTTAATCTGGGGTAGCTCGTCGAAATATGAATAACTACATAGTTTTCACTGAAAATATGGGAAACATGGGAAACCTCGGAAAAATTGATTCCATTTGAAATTCACCGTAAAAACTTACTTTTTTTTAATTTGACTGGAATAGTCTGTCGCAGTATTAATAATGATGACATAATTTTCACCCCTCGAAAATCTCGGAAAATCCCGGAAAATCAACATATATTTTTTTTTCATTTTATATCAATGATGTTATAATACTTACTATATTTTATAAATTAAATTTCAGGTAATTTTTTTACACATTATATTATTATATTCCTTATATTAATTATAATTATTTACTACTTTGACGATCTATACTATTATATAGTGTATAGGTATATGTACAGTACGAGAACGGTAAATACATTTATTTACGTTTTAGATCTAAATATCCAAGATACAGAGTATCGTCTCTGTCCACTTTTATGTATTTATGCGAATACGAGAGGGTCTCTATATAATAAAAACGGATAATATATCTTAATATGCGTAAAAAAGGCGGGATGAGTAGCAGCTGCCACGCTCCAAAATTTCGTCAAAATAGTTCCTAACTTTGTTCCTATTGGTCAAAGAAGGTTTTTTTTAAAGAATCCTATGAAATTTGCTAAATGTGTCTAGCATCATTAATAGAGCAAGTTAAATAGTTTAAATATTTAGCCTCAGGGATAAATAAATTAAATAACTTTTAAACTATTTTATATTTATAGCACAAATTTAAAAGATGGTAATTCTTCGATGTTCAAATGTATTAATAACATTTTATTTTGTTTATTATTCCTTATTTATGACTCCGTAAATTATTTATTAATATTATTTAAAAAAAACGGGAAAATAAAGATATTCTTGATGTTTATGTAAAATATAAGGGAAAAAAGACAAAAAAAATAGACAAAAAATCAAATGGTGACCATAAATTATTGTTTAAAAAACGCAACGTAAAAATATGGGTACTTTTTCATCTATTCGATATCTAATAACCCCCACCTACGTCTTAAAAGCTTCAGATATCTGCGAAAAATTTTTCGACCTTTGTTAACCAGACTGGGCTAATACTTCTATATATCCACTAAGAGTAGGATTTTAAAATGATCGAGATTTGTTCCCTCAAAATTAAAATGAAAGAACACCACTGCTTCTTTTTTATACACAACGGTTTTACTTTTGTCTCTTTACGAGACTTCGTACATACTTCTAAACCACTTTCCCCAAATAAAATTAAAGTTTTATTACATAAAGAAAAGTATAAAGGATATTCAGAGTGAATGTGGGCACGTACTGATATGGTCATCGGCACTTCCAAAACATAATTTTAAGTCACATTCTACGTTCACAGAAAATACAGGTCATTATTCATTAGTCACAATAGCATAATATGTCCGTCGCCAAATATGGCGTGTGACGTAGATATCTGCAAGTAGGTTTGCTTCTGTTGTTGTTATAAAACATATAAACGTATGTACAGAATGGCTCCATATTGAAACCTTTTATGTAATTTTCGACTTAATTTATTATAATTAATAAATTATTAAGAGGATGTACAGAAAACTACTTTCTAAGATTTATTAATGAACGTTACTCAGCCTCTAAAAATATTCATAAAATTCTTTGTCCTTTTTCAAAAAATTTTGAATTCTACATTTGACGTCAAACAGACTTTCTTATATATACAGAATGCCATATAGCCAACTGTATGTATAGCTATATATTTAAGTTTCCAACCAAAGTTTGTTGCTTGTGATTGCTTTTTATTACTTTTGTAGGTTTGGACTTAATTTACCTGACAATATGTGTACGATGTTTTACTTTTTCTAATAAGACCTGAAAGAAAACTGAAATGGAGATATACAGGAGTATTCTTTAGCAAAATATTCGTAATCTAAAATATATATTGTTTTGTGCTAATTCTAATAAAAATATCCCTTCTATTCTGTTTGTCAAGTTTGCAGTTTTCAGTGATTATATATGTCTGTTATAGTGATACTATGGACCTGATTGTTATCATTTATAGGCCTATAGGCTACACATTTTACGAGTTATGACAGTTAATAGGTGTCTGGATATTACTCATTTCTCATCTTAAGATGCCTTAATGGAACTATACGAGATAAATAAAATAACATATAATGAATTACATGGAGTAGCGAGTAGATACTCCTTTGCGATACCGACAGAGGACAGATCTACTTCAGGAATAGCAAACCTCTCCTCGTGAGCTCATAGTTTTGGCTCATGTCATGGGTAGTGAAAAAAAGGGAGAAAGTCTTATCACATTCCCATCAGACCATTTATGATACTACAAAAAAGAAGAAAAATCGACAGTTAGAGGTGTCGGTGTCTTTATTCACAGAAGAATTGCCAATAGAATTATGTCAAGAAACCAAATCTCAACAAAGGTGGTCTACTTCATAACATCAAAATAAGCGCAAGATATATCCTAAAGATCGTTCTAGTGTACCCCCTGCTGCAGGACATTCAGACGAAGAAGTTGAAATATTCTACGATAAAATATCCTGTGCAATCAAGGAAAATCCTGGCCACTTCTTAATAATTGGTGGCGAGTTCAACGCCAAAATAGGCACTAAGGAAGCCTCTCTGAAATATTATTGAAAAATTTTGGAAGCGAAGGCAGAAATGATAGAGGCAAATAATTGTTCACTTGTCTTTTGGAAAACAATCTATCAAATAAGCAGCCCTTTTAAAAAGAAAAACTACAGAAGATTAATATGGGAAAGCCATGATGAAAATACAAGAAACAAAATTGACAATTTCTTAACAAATAAAAAAGAATTATTTAAAGACGTAAATGTGTTAAACCAGTTTAGTACAAGCATTGATCATAGGTTATTAAGAGCGAAAATATCGATATCGCCCGAAAAAGAAATACTCAAAATAATAAATAAGAAACAACCAGAGAAATGGACAAAAACAACTAATATTCAGGAGTTAGAAAAATATAATGATAATTCATTGAAAGACACAATAACAACACAAGTCAATATATTGAACAAACAAATAGTCAACACAATGCAACAAGTCCAAACTAAATATTGTTCAACAAACAAAAAGGATGAAAAACTAAGTCAACTAACAAAAATATTATTTTTTTTAGCAAAAGCACATTGCTCGATTACCTAGACAAAGAAAACGGATATCAAGTAATTAGTTAGTAAGAATATCTTACAATATGTAATGCATTCAATGCAGCACATTCTTTTAGAATTCTATAGCGAATAAAGATCTGATGGTGGAGTTAGCCGAAATAAAAGTAGACAAAATAAACAAGAAAACATCTGAAAACACCTGAAAACAGTAGTAAAAACTATAAGCAGGTATTTCTTTTTTAAGCTATCATGCCGAAGGGCTTACCAGAATAGAAGGGTGCATAATTCGATATCGACGTGGAGACCTAATCTAATCCAATGGCAAATATGACCTAAAATAAGTATGTAGAAATCTAAAGAAACTCTCGAAGATATGCTAAGAATAAAGTGATCAAAGTCTTGGAGAAATAAAGTGATTCTAGAAAATTAACTTAATACTCACGAAGATACATGGTATTATGACATTACCTAGTTGGAAAACTGGCATGTCTAGTTCCATAGCTTAAGATACACCTCCTTCCATATGAAATTACACCTCATATCATAACTCCTCAGGAGACTCTTCAGGTAAAATAATTTCTTATGTTGTAGGCATAACTGAATTGCCTGCTTTCGCCATAGTTTTGGTAAACACTCTTTTAGCCACAATAAGCCCAAAAACAAAATCGATAATAGTCACTCACAGAATTCGATCAAATGCATAATAACATTGGACCCGTACTTAATACCACCGCACACTCACCCCTTCTGAGACAATAAGATGAGACTAAATTACTCAAAAGGTACTACTAGATCCTAAGATAAAGTGATCGCACTTCTTTCTTCTTCCTTCTTGAATGCTTTAAAACCTGTTTCTTCTTCAATATTAGCCTCCTAAATTGTTTAAATTGTCGCACTATCTTTTTTCTTGGTCTTCCAATAAAAAGATGGTGCGATATCCATTTGGTGACTTATATCGTGCTATTCGTACTATTCGATCCTCTGCAATTCTACTGATGTGATCGTTCCACTCCTGTTTCCGTTTTGTCACCCATTCATTTATGTCCTCTATATTGCATGCTCTTCTCATGTTTTCGCTTCTCTCCCTATTCAACAGATTTTATCATATTGTACTTCTTAGCTGTTGTATTGAAGATATGTATCTTTGGAGCTCGTCTTATGTCTCGGCGATTAATGCGGCATCGTCTGCATAACATAATATTTAGATTTCTTTGTTCCCTATTCTGTAACCATGACCTTTATTATAACGAAATACTACTGCGTGTATTATTTCGTCCATTATTATATTAAAGAGAAGTGGGCTTAAAGAGTCTGACTCCGCTTTGTACTGGTATACACTGTGTTAGTTTTCCATTTATCTTTGCCTATATTCAATTATGGAGGTAAATGTTTTCGATGGTTTGTATAATATTGATTGGTATGTTTCTTTTATACAGTAGGTGTAAGACGTCTTTGACTTGGATGCGATCGAAAGCCTTTGTTAGATTTATAAAACATAGATATGCTGGTTTATTGTACTCGATGGCCTTTTCTGTGATTTGTCTTAGTACAAATACGGCGTCTACGCAGAATCTTCCGGATCTGAATCCTTGTTGTTCATCTGATAAAGTTATAGTTTATTGATTTTGTTGGTTAGGACGTTTGTGGTAAGCTTAAGTGCGGTCTTCAGTAGATTTATACCTCTATAATTGTTGGGGTCTCTTTATCTCCTTCTTCAACATTGGTATCATTATGCTGTTTCTCCATGCGTCTGTTATCTTGCAGTGCAATATTAGTTTTTGTATAAGTTATGTAATCGTACGAAAGAGTTATTTTCTTGTAGCAGCTAGCTAATCCTATGTTAAGATTTATAACTTTTACTAGATTTTGCATTATCAATGTCACACTATATACAATGTTTATCCTAAAAAATAAAATTTTGCCATGGTAATATCAACTTTCAAAGAGATATATTTAAGAAAGGATGATATTTACTTTTTAAATTCCATGAAATGCATCTCTTCTCGATTTTATTAATTATTTTTGTTGTATAATCGGTGGAATGCTTTATATAATCAAAGGACATTCTTAAAAGGTCATCCCGCTGGATTTATTGCAAAAGACAGTGCAGTGGAATTCGAAAATCAATATATACGAGAAGACCATGACCTATTTCAAACTTAATTTGTGCCAACAATAAAAAGTACAAATAAAGAAAGGGAAATGCCTTTTTATTTAAGCATATGTACCGTATGGACCTCGCAAGGTGGATTATATATATACAAAAATTATAATTTATAGTAAAATGGTAGTGTAAAATTTATTATATTGAAGATAAATAAACACTTGAAATATTTACAGTCAAATAAATAAAGGCTATATGTTGTTTTTATGATATTTCATCAAAGTAATCATTCAAAACGGCGGAGTGGTGCTATTTTGTAAAATTATTTTGAATAGAATTATATCGCGAGTAATACCTAATTTAATATCTCTGTGTCACTCAGTATTTTTTAGTGTTTGTGTGATTTTAGGTTGTTAATACAATGTTGTAAAATACATATATTATTAATTTCATCCATAGTGCCCTATTTCGTTTGATAGTTGAAAGAGTTGACGGTCGACGTAAAACATAAGATTTTACAGTTGAAACGACAGCAACAGTTGCTGATAAGAAAAAAGATTGACAGTCAATGCAAAGAGGAATATTTGATAATTAAAATGACAGCTAACGGTTGCTGATAAGAAGGAGAATTGACAAATCAAAAAGAAGAAGACTTAGATAAAAAGAAGAATTGACAACACAGAAAGAAGAAGACTTGACAGACCGAAAGGAAGAATAATTGACAGTTGACATTAGCTACGGAAAATAGGAAGAATTGACAAATGACACCCGAAAAACAAGAAGAATTGACGAACCAAAAAGAAGAAGCGGCGGCCTTCTTGGCGGGCCAGCCTTTGTGACGTCGGTGGACGGGGCTTCGTCGTCAGAGTGGAAGTGGAGAAGGTGAATCGGTTCATAATAATTTTCACAATTCAATGGTCGCAATTGTATCTATATTCAAAGTGTCAGAATTGCATTGAAATCTAAAAGGATATTTAATGATTTGGTCATGAGTTTTCAAACGATGTATCATATATTCATTTTTTTGGCACCTAGTCTTGTCGTAAGAGATTTGATCTCTAAAAACTGTACAAATAAGCTGAATTTTCCTCAAAATGTCAATTTTGGGATCCTAAAAAGATGCAAAAAAGTTAGCTACTCCTAAACAGGTAGGGGGGAACGGAAAATATCGATTTACCAAGAATCTGTAAGCTGAAAAAAAAATGTTTTAAATAAGAAATGTAGCTGAGAAAATTTTGAACACAAAAGTTTATTAGCACTTTTTCTGTAGAGTGAACCATTCTCTCGGAAACAACGCTTAAAGGGACCGGCGATTTTAAATGTTAGTTATATGCGCGAAATAATTTTTTAAATAAAAGTTGTATCAACTCAACAATAAAAATTTGATATCTTTTAATCAGAGTGTCGACTGTCGACAAAAATCAAAATGCATTTTTAAGATGAAGAGTGTCGATTTCGAATGCAGTTTTTGCGTTTTGTCGCAAATGAAGTTCGTTTTTATAAAGATGTTGAATAAATAAACGTTGCACGATTTTCGCCATTGTTTTTACTACGTACATATTCTTGGTAAATCGATTTTTTCTGTTTTTTCTCCCTACTTTTTTGGAGTCACA